ATTTGTCCTGTGTACATATCTAGCTATATGGTGGCTGTGGCACTCTACTCCCGACTATGGTGTTGAAAGCTTGCCCCAAAATAAACCAGGAGCACCAGTGGGGTCGGAAAGTCCAGCAAATGGTTCATGAAGTGTCCTTTCAGTCATCACTACTCCTGACCAGGGGTGCTGCTACAGATTTTTGGCCCTCAACCCAGACCAAACCAATTATGTTTGAAAATGTTTAGGGCCTCTGTCAGCCGACCAGGTTCACATGGCCCTCAACATAGGCAGCCTGATGGTTCCCCTCTTCATGCTCATGCTGTCCATGCTCTGGTATTTTCAGACCCAGTACCGGCACTTTTTCACGGCCCCTGCCACTGCCTCGCTGGTGGGCATCACCATCTTCTTTAGCTTTGTGGCATTCGGGGTGTACCGTCGATGAGCCCCCCCCCGCCCCCACGGAGTGTGCCACGCTCCCCTCATCACTATGACTCTGCTCCCTCCCCTTTCCCGGCCAGTGCCGGTTTTTGCTGTTCTGTGACTAATATATAGTTTCACCATGTGTGTGTATGCATTATGGGAGAATTACGTAAACTCATCGTGCCTGTAAAGTTGCCCCCCACCCGCCCTCCACATGTCTGGCTAGTAGGGCCCCATCCGAGCTGGGGGGTCTCTGGCGGCCCCTGTCATCTCTCCCCCCTTTCAGACTTAGGTTGTTCGTTTACGGTCTTTTTCAGCTGAAAGTGGCATTACTGCTGCTGTGTGTCTGGACTTGAAGCATAATTTGTGTAAAATAGCTTTCAATACAGGATCTATTAAATCATTCTTTTATTTAGCCCTGGTGAGTTTTTGTGTCTGAAGGGTGTGATTTCGGGCTGTAGGAGCGAAAAGCCGTCACCTGTCATGGTTAATGGACACTGTTGTGGGACAACTGAGGTACAGAGATACAGAGCTGGAGATCCCTCACAAAAGCAGTAGACCAGGGTTCAAATAAATCTATAATCACATTTCACACAGATCTATATTCTGACAATTAAAACAGCAGAAATGGTGCAAATGATAATTATCCCAAATCTAGACAATCTAGTCCTTTAATTTGTAAGTCATTAAAAATGAGTGGAATTTTCCATGTTTACAAACCATATTGTCAGGGGACAGAGAATTTAACATGTATATTGGGGGGGTGGGCTGGTCACTGGTGGTCCCTTTCTGGCTGGGTATGTGCTTCTCATGTATTTTTTATATATGGCCAGACCCTCCATATTTGCTCATAGAACCTCCAATGAAGGCTGTGCCCATTTATCTTCCTTGAAGCTGCACCCCTTTGCCCCCCCCCCCCAGGTGTTTCATTTATTAATACAAATCCAGTACCAATGTCTTGATAGCCATTTATTGACCAAATTCTATATGAAATGTTTATACAAGTAATGTGTGGAATTAGTATGCCCCCTAGTGGAATATCACAAAATGACGTGTATTCCTTGCCAACTGCTTACTGTATGTAAGAGATTCTGGTTTCAGGTAAAATAAAAAAAAAAATGTAAAGACATTAGGAATTAAAATGAAAGCAGCCCCCATTATCATTGGTGTGATACACCAAAGGAATGGAAGGTGAAATCGCCTGCAGCCTTATGGACATGCAGCATGATACAGACTAAACATAGGTTAGGAAAAGACCAAACGCCCTGGATTACAGTGTTACATGTGATTGGGTGATACTTTGCTTAATCACAACACCAGCTACATGCTTTGCGCCAACTTTTTTATCTATTACCTACCAATCAGAAACAAGGATGTGAGTAATGTTAGCAAATCAAAGTGAAGGAGAACAAATTCTGGTTTGCGACCCCATCTGTCAGATGGCGATGCTGTTTTCAATTCCAGCGGGGTGCAGATACGCGTACGGGAAGGGCTGCTCCCTTGACCGCTCCTTAATTGCTTCCCCAATTGCGCTTAGCCGTGTCTGGAATTTCTTGATCGCATCCCTCAGACGTGGGTCATTAGATACTTCATTCGCGTAAGTTCCCAGGGCAACCTGTGGGGGCAGTGTAGAGGACTGACTGTGATGTAAATAATTGATTTAAATTCCAGATAGTTTTGCTCCTCAGCTTCCATATCAAGACAAATGAACATTCTTACACTTGGGAGCTGAAGAGGAGATCCCACATCAAAGTGCATAATTACTGCATAATGACAGTGACTCGGCCTACTTTTATCACAGACTGAATAGTGAACAGAACAGATCTGTCCATCTATTATCGGATTGCTTACAGCTAACAGGGCAGAATGGATGAGTTTAGGATTAGAAGAATTTATTGAGATGCTGGTTCTCTCAGGGAACCATATGTGGAGAACACAGGGACCAAGGACTGACTGAAATATTCCAGATCAATTTCAGTACCAGCATCCTACTGCCAGTGAGATGTTTTTTTTTTTTCTTTTTTAACTTTAACGAAAGGATACAGATGCAGATACGTGTCACAATGGTCAGCAAATTCAAACAGCTGAGCATTTACAATGTCTTCGGAGACCTGACTGAGGAACCGGGATACAGCCATGGCTTTCAGGGTGAACGCCAAGCCAGGCAGAGTGTTGACAATGTATTGCTCATCCACCAGATCCTTGTACTTTGGTGGGGGCTGCCTCATCGTTGTGGGACCGTTTGGCNGAAAAAATAAATGCAAAAATACAATGTCCACTACAATGGACATAAATGAATAGGTCGAGTCTCAGGAGGATATTGTCAGGGGACAGAGAATTTAACGTATATTGGGGGGGGGGGGGGGGCTGGTCACTGGTGGTGCTTCTCATATATTTTTTATATACGGTCAGACCCCCCATATTTGCTCGTAGAACCTCCACCCCTTTGTCCCCCAGGTGTTTCATTTATCAATACAAATCCAATACCAATGTCTTAATAGCCATTTATTGACCAAATTCTATATGGAATCTTTATGAGTAATGTGTTGAATTAGTATGCCCCCTAGTGGAATATCACAAAATGACACGTATTCCATGCCAACTGATTACTGTATGTGAGATTCTGGTTTCAGGCAAAATCAAAAAAAAATGTAAAGACATTAGGAATTAAAATGAAAGAAGCCCCCATTATCATTGGTGTGATACACCAAAGGAATGGAAGCTGAAATCGCCTGCAGCCTTATGGACATGCAGCACAATACAGACTAAATATAGGGTTAGGAAAAGACCAAACGCCCTGGATTACAGTGTTACATGGGATGGGATTAAGCAAAGTATCACCCAAACACCAGCTATGAGCTTTGCGCTAACTTTCAACTCTAAATTAATAGCATCTATTACCTACCAATCAGAAACAAGAATGTGAGTAATGTTAGCAAATCAAGGTAAAGGACATTATATTCTGGGTCGCGACCCAATCTTTCAGATGGCGACGCTGTTTTCAATTCCAGCGGGGTGCAGATACTCGTACGGGAAGGGCTGCTCCTCTGACCGCTCCTTAATTGCTGTCCCAATTGCTTTTAGCCATTTATGGAATTTCTTGATCGCATCCCTCAGACGTGGGTCGTTGGATACTTCATTTGCGTACGTTCCCAGGGAAACCTGTGGGGGCAGCAGAGAGCTGACTGATTTAAATACAGTGGTACCTTGCAACACAAACTTAATTCGTTCCACAAGGCTGGGTGAGTTGCGATTTGGTCGAGATCCAAGTCAAATTTCTCCATGAGAAATTATGTAAATGAATCTATTCCATTCCAGACTCTACTTAAACTCATCTACCTACCTAATGATAAAAAGCATTAACAATCAATAAAACTAATACACAAATGAAAAAGCACACATACAAAAGCAATAAACACTAAATAAATGACAGTTCCAAATGACAGCGAGAACAGACACTTAAAAAGGAAATTATAGCAAAACTTAAGTCCTAAAGTTACTCTAACTACTTTCCTCTTTGATTTGCTGCTATCACTGCTGACTTTCTTAGGGGCCATGATTACTG